ACTGTTCCACACACGCGCGATTTTAAGTAGTGATGCAAACCTGCGACTGCATCGATACATCTTGGTACTTGGTACTTGGTGTAACGGGCTGGTGTCCGACTCGACGACTAGGCGCCTATTTTGCATCGATACAAACGCGCGATTGCATCGCTACACTTGGGATTTAAAGGCGATTGCATCGGCGGAATCGCGCGCTTGTATCGATGCAGTCCCGCGTTTGCATCGATGCAATAGCCTATAAATCGCAAGTGTAGCGATGCAATCGCGTGTTCCACGAATGAGGGTGTGCATCGCTGCTAACAACTCACTCTAAGTCAAATGGGCGGCAAATAGAGTTTTTTTTTTTCACATTTAGCTATACACTTTTGTTCGAATATATCGCCTCTAGAGCAACGGAATATGATCTGTCAATGTGAACATTTAATTCTCTTGTATATGATTTTATATTCAATTAAATATGACATAGATACTGTCTGTGCAGTGAATTGTTCTATTTTAATAAGTGTCAAAAACACATTGCGGGAAACTAACGATGTAAGTGACGCAGGCTTATGTGTCAATTACGCACAACTGGAGAATTTACTGAAGGTCAGCAACGGCGGAGGGTAAATATTGAAAATTAAATTCAGGTCACGACACCCATTTTTCAATGATAAGGGTGATAATTTGGTATTATGTATTTCAGACTAGGTGTGCTAAAAGATGTTAACGACAGGTGGCGATGAGATTCTTTTGTTATATTAAGTAAACAACGTAGCTATTGTCATGAAAAGTTTAGAAAAAGAAGACGATCAATACTTAATAGCTTTAAATTTATAATGCAAATTATAAGGAGGATGGTGGGTCTTTTTAAAAATTAGTCTTTGTAGTTTAGTAAAATCGTATTACATTAATAGTAAGTTTAAAATAATGTTGCTCGGCGAGTAGGTACTGTTTTTTCTGACCCAAATTAAATCCGCTGGAATGACTCGGAAGCGGTTAGACGCTACACGAGTGTCCAGTTACATTGTGATTTAGTTTCATTTTAGTTCCAAAATACAATAACTCGTCAATAATCGTCATCATCACAGTTGAACACTGCCTCTCGAGACTGGATTTAATAGCATTTAGATCCAAAAAAACAAATTGTTTTTTAATAATGGCAGCAATCGCGAATGCCTAAGAACTCGACAGGATTTAACGTTTGAAAGTTAGTTAGCTATATACAAGTTTTGCCTTGAAATGTATATTGTTCCTTAGGCAAAGTTATTTCGTGTAAGACGTGTAAGAAGGACAGATATCCTTCTCTTTCTCTTTCTTTATTTTACTGACCACCTCGCAAAACTTGCACTCACTCACCAAGGGAACAGGCTCGTCTGTGGTAACACAGAACCGTGGAGGTGTATAGGTTAATGTATAGCGAATAATTGGTGAAATCTGTGAACGACAATGGGTTGTCTTTCTGTAGTTTTTTAATTAATAAAATGAAATGGGTGGGGTGTGTGGCTGTCGGTGATCGTGTCGGTGATGGGTGGGGTGGTTGGCCTTGCTAAGAAATCTGTCAATTCACGGACCGTGGGAGTTCGCCATTAGATTTAAAAGCTAGTCTCCTGTCAGTGTATTTAACATCTTTATATTTTATGAAAAACTTTTTCTACGACCTCCTTGAATCTCTCTCATCTGAGCGTTGTCCCGGTTGCGTCCTTAGCCGACCGGTAACGACCTCCTTGAATGTGCGACGTAATGACTCTTAAATTGTGTAAAAAAAATAGGTCTATAAAAAATATGTATGTATGGAAATTATAAAAAAGCTTGTACTTTATGTATATACGACCTTGGTGGTCCAACGTTTCGCCTTCTCAACGCTGAATGTGGTGATTCTGGTAGCGATTTCCGATAGGACCAATTTAGCAAATGAACTTGGTTCAACAAAATTGATTCTGATCTGGGTGTTCTGCGTAGTGCCCCGGAGTGAGTTCCATGGCTCTGGTACTAATAGTACATGGAATTCCCTAGTTTGAGTCTAGTTAATTGGTGTGTTATCTGGCATTAGTTTTATTAATATAGTATATCAATACTTTATTAATATATTTTATCAATACTTTTCTTAACTCATCTTAAGTTTTCTTGCTTTGTCTTTTGTCCTAGATTTCTTGTATATTTCGATCGAGTTTTTTTATTTTTAGTAATTCTTTATTTTATTTCAGGTGTATTTTGAATTTAAAGACACGAACTGTTGCACAGAAAAGGAACCGAAATTAAGAAGAGAAAAATATTATAAGTAAGTATTTAATTGATATGAAAATAAAAAAAACGGCATTTTTATAATACGTGTGGCGCACAATAAGTTTCCGGAATGAATAAGGAGACAGAATACTATAAATGGATATCAGAAATGAGTTCATTGTTCCTCAAAATATTCTCCGTTAGCGTTAATGCACTTTTTCATACGAATGAACCAATTTTGAAAACATTTATGTCACTCCTCCGTGACAATCTCTGAAACATATTTTTCATACTCTTCGACAGCCTCTTCAGGTGATGAAAATCGTTGACCGCGTAACTGGTTCTTAATTTTTGGAAATAAAAAAAGTCACAATGTGGCAGGTCGTCACTGTACGCGGGATGGCTTATAAGGTCAACGTTGTTCACCTTCAAAAATTCATTAGCCTGTCTGGACGTGTGAGAACTGACATTATCGTGGTGCAAGATGATACGGCGTTTATGGTTATTTTTACGGAGTTTGTCAATAACTTTCGCCAAACAAATGGTTGTATACCAATCACTATTTACGGTACAACGATTCTCCAAAGCAACAGTACCCATGTATCCAGTTTTATTTAAAAAAGAAGCAATCATCCGCTTAGAGGCAATTTGCACGCGCGCCACTTTGGTTGGTTTCGGCTTATCTCGAAAGACCCATACGCTCGATTGCTGCTTTGTTTTGGGATCGTAACTATAAATTCATGTTTCGTCACCTGTTACTATGTCCCACACCAAATTTAACGCCCGTTCATTAAATCTGATAAGCATGGCATTGCACCAAGTGACGCGATCCGTTTTTTGAGCCTCAGTCAAATTGTGTGGGACCTTTCAAGAGCACAGCTTTTTCACATCCAAATATTTGTGTAGTATTGATTCTATTTGACTCATGCCTATGCCTAAAAATGCCCGAATCTCATGGCATGTCACACGCCTGTCTGTTTTGATCATACGGCGCACAGCATCGATGTTTTTGTTGTTCACAGCAGTGGACGGGCGATATAACAGCTATAAATAGTCGTCTTGCATGGTGCTTCATCGTCAAAAGCAGATTAAAGCCGAGCGAAGCTCTGCTGAGCTGTTAAATTACACTTAAAGCCGTAGAAAATCATACTATGAAAATTTTCATGAGTTAAATCCCTGGTGATGTAGACAACCAATTTCTAAAATGACGCCATAATGTAAAAACAAGTGACAGTCAGATGAAACAAACTGTATTCTACAGCCAAAGAGTTCCATTTTTAAATGTTGTAATCACTTTTTAAATATTGTTTATGTGAGTGGCCAGTTCCGGTAACTAATAGTGAGCCCTATGTACCTAATGACGGAAGAACAAGTGGTGCGTCTGGTGTTAAGCGCAGTACTTCACTGGGCGAACTCTATCATAAAGAACTCTACTGCTGCTTATACGTGAAAATACATACGTACTTTTTCTTACATATTGTTATTAAGTATATTTAGTACATTATTTACTTTATTTAATCTCGTGTTTTATTTAAGTATTAAGAAATAGTTTTTATTCAAATATTAATAAACGAAGGAAAAAACGACTATTCTAAATCTTTGGTAATTACGTTTCTTCTTTAGCATTGTCAGTCCATTCAGTGCATTCAGTTTAGTAGCAGTAGAGCTCCTTGTTAAAGAGTTCGTCCAGGGAAGTGCTGCCACCTTACCTATTTCTGCTGTCAAGCAGTAATGTTCGGTACTGTGTTCCGGTTTTTAAGGGTCTTTACCCTTCAAAACTATTTATATATTTTCATACCTATTTACCTATTATACCTATTTCTGCCACCAAGCAGTAATGTGAGAATTACTGCGTTCCGGTTAAAGAGGGTACGGGTGCTGGTTAAATTACAGGCGTATGGGACTTGTCAACTTACGTCTCAGGGTGACGTGCAGTGCCCCTCAGATCTACGCGATTTGAAGCTCTGAGTGGCACTGCAACTGTTATGGATAGGCATGTAGCTTACGACTTGTTCGTCCCGTCACTTGTTTATATAAAAAAAGTCGATAAACACGTTTTATTTTTTAACCAATGGATTCACTTGGAATGCTTCGGTTTTATTTCATATGCAAATTATAAACCATAAAACAATTACAGGAAATAATATAATAGTAAAAAAAATAAAAACAAAGTAGTAAGGGTAATAATTATGAAAGAATTTAAAAATGTCAAATCGTGTCTATTCATCATCCGAGAACTATGCGAATACATAGCTCTCGCTATATAAAATAAATAACAGGCAGACAAATAACAATTACGTAGCGTCTACTATTTCAAAAAAACATCATGAGAAACTGGAACGAGATGAGTAAGAGAGAAAAGCTCTGTGATTTATCAAAAAAATGGCTTCGTTAGCAACAAATTCGTAAACGTAAAGCAGAAGAGGAAACCGTTGCATAAAAGTATAAACAAATGTATCGGAAACTAATTACATTCCAAACTTAGATTCGTTCGCAACAGTAGTGGTGTCGGAAAGTATGCGCGAGCCCAGCGTAAACATTGCAAGCGCTTCAACGAGCGCAATAAACAAACATTTAGGTAAACATCATCTAATAACGTAACGGAAGCACCATCGATCTAAGTGGTCGGGTAAACTTGCGCGCGCGCCGTTTTGACTGTTTGTCCATTGATAAAGCTCGCAATTTTAGCTGTCAGTCGGGAGCGTGCCGCCGCCTGGAGCGCTCCTCCCTTTAACAGCCTCCGCACGCCGTGTCTAAACTGGTCCGAACCAAGTGTCTTCACGATCCGAAAATCCGCTTTCGTGCTCGCGCCTCTACCACCCGCGGTCTCCGGTGCCCTCTACCAGGAAGGCAGTGGCATGGTAATGCGTGTTCCACTTACAAAGGATAATTTGTAATTATTGCTCGTCGGATCCTGGGTGTTTGCCGCCTATTGTCTCATAGAGCTAGTGATAGGTATCGTATTACGTAATGTTAATTTTTTTTCATGATTTTTTAAATTATTAATTTTGTTTTATTTGAAATTCTTATTATTTTCACTTTCAAAATTTTTTTTGTACTCTTCGATTCACTTAAATTTTCTCCATATTTATCTATGTTAATTTATAAAAATTCACTCCAATTTTGCTTGCTCTAACTTTGCGTTTAATACGAGTTTTTCGTTCGCGATTTTTGACCGATGATTAATGATTTACCGAAATATTGTGTGTCAATTTGCAAATGAAGTGATTTATCAATCAGAACATAATTTAGCTATTATAAACACACATCCTCACTAATAGGGCCAGGGTTAACCGCTGCTGTTCCCTTATCAAAATAGGAACCGCGAAGGCTAGCCATTTGCGCAACCCGTATCACGTCCGCTACTAAATTCAGTTGTGTGGGAATCTTCTCTTCCATCACAACACATATCAAAATATTTCAATATACCTTCAGTTCATTCCAGATGTTTCTGTCCTTTTTCTCTTTATTTATCCGCAATGTCTAGTTAAAAATCGTTCGTATCGTGTGGGACGTCACTTAAGCGTATATATACTCGTCTCTCCCCATGCGTAATTGAGCCATGTTCTAAAATATCCTCTTAGCTAAATAAATTGACATCTTTTAGAATAGATTCAAAGTACTGTCATGTTAAGTTACTATTTTCTAACAGTTCTCTCCTTTTCTAAGTATGTGAGCAGTATTCGTTACTATCTCCGTCTTTTTTAGAAGTTTCAAGTTAGCCTTTAACATATTGATATGTTTTAAACAAGACGCTAAAGTTCAAAAGTGTTTATAACACGTTTATCTTAATCTCTACACACGTAAACGTTATCTTTGTGTAAACTTGTAAACTTGGAACTTAATGCAAATTGTGTGGAGACCCAGAGAAGGGTACAGGAACGTAGGTAAGCAGCCGAAGCGCTGAATAGACGGTTAAAAATTGGATGAGGAAGGCACAAGATCTGAAGATTGGAGTATATTAGAAGACACCTACACTCAGCATTGGGTGTACAGAGGTTGAAAAAGAAAAATAAGGAAGCGAAATTGCACATTTTCCATTTTGATTGTATAAAATCAGGTTATTCAAAACTGTGAGGGAAATTATTTTCAACTGGGGCTCTAGTTTTGTCAGATTGAGAAAGAAGCATACAGAAGCTTTTTCATAAATCGTAAGAATTTCTCACCTTTTAATTTCACAATATTGAGAGCTACGCTTTGTCCAAAAGCTCTAGCACGTCCTGAATACTCACAAAATGATAAACGCTAATATTAAACGTTCCAACATTAGCATAGGGACAAATAGACCAGTCGACATTGGCCCAACCTCTGCACAAGTCTAGCACTCAGCGGTGTTACTAACTATCGGTAATTGACCATTGTCTGCCATTTGTTCACAACTTACAATATGGATACCACATTACAAGTGTCGTTAAAGACAAACTATTGTCGCTATGTCGTAAAATAGTCCTTTACTTTTAACTGTAATAAAATTTATTACTGTTACGGCCTTGAAAGTTTACATGTTTCATATGTGATTGTGCATATAGGTAGATGATTTAATACTGTTTATGGTATGTTTTCGAAAGTCTTGTTACTAAGTTGGGACACGTCCACGCGTAGACTTTTTATAGTTGCCATACAATGCTCATGTTTAGAGCTTCCGCTGTTCTATACTTATTTCTCCCTTGAACTCTTCTTTCTTTTATTGTTTTAATATTTATGTCTTGTTCGAGGTTTGTTACTTTATTGAAAGTTTGTTTCTATTATGTGTGAATCAACAATATAAGGTTTTATTACTATTATGTCATCTAGTTGTAAAATATTACATTTGAAGGAAGCGGTCGTAGGTCATGTTGTCACAGAGATCAGGGACGTTTATTACTTTGTTGCTCGTTGATTTATCAAGTAATGACCCTCGACTACTAATTGTTTCTTACGTCAAATTTATATTTAGAAATTTATTTAATAAAAGTATTCTTGATTCATACGTATGGTCATCAGTAGATCTAAGATATAGAAGATCTCTACTGCAATTACCACGTCGTGTAGGTTTCGATAGATTTTACTCTCATATTACTACGTGATTGGCGAAAGAGATCCTCCCCATATTGATTCCAATTTATCGATGCTGTGTACTTTCTAGTCAACCGTGAATAGTTACCAAATTGTCATACCATATTTTTAAGGTCTATCATGAAATTTAAGTCTCCAAATTAACCGACCCACCAGCAACCCATGCTTACTAACTTTGGTTTATATTTGCGAGTATATTCGGTTGTCGCACCCACTCATATCTTAAAATTTAGTTTTACGAATCTTGTAATGATTTTTATTTGCGTTTTTCAAATTTCCCATTTCAGTAGTCGAGCAATGTCCGGAAAGACGTGAATGTAGTGCGTGTCGCTCCCATAACACAATTTTAAAACACCTGCATAACCAATTTTAAATTACATGTAGCGATATTGTTATACGTATTATTATTGCTTTTAGTTTTAATCGCAATTTTAAGTAAAAGATTTATACTGGAAGCAATATTGCATGCTTTTTCACTAATTGTGACAATTACGTAACGCTCCTTGAATTACTGCTTAAGACTTTGTACTTCCTTCCGTTATCTAATAACATAAATTAGTCGCCTTGATTTATTTTAAGTGCGCAAACACTCAATGTGGCTTATGCTCTTTTTATACCATAACTTTATCATTTATTTATTATTACATCTCGCTAAACAGAGTACCAGGAAAGCATGCCGTGTCAGAAGTTCTCAAGCGTCCAGATCAATCTACGTTCGCATCACGCTAAGTGGGGCTTTGATGATCCTGAAACACACTCGTTGCTTCCTCGTTCATATCAATGCAAGCTCTATGCGCTAACAGCGTAATTTATGCCATGATATGCGATATTAGGCCAACAATATTATTGTTCGTAAGTGTAGTTTGAAGTCCGATTGCTGCCCATTTTGATTCTTTTTTTTTTGTTTAAAAGGTTTTCTCTTTGTTTACTTTCGTATCTCATTAAGTCTAATTAATTGCTTTGAGGTCCTCCCGACTTGTAAAAACGAAATAAAATTTGGCTATTTATATTGTACTCTCGACTCTTTCATTAATTGTCAATGTAATTCGCGTATGTACAGTTTTTTCTACGTAAATAGCGAGCCTATGACCTGAAATCTTCGAGCAGATGTCATTCTGTGTCAACCTTTTGTTTAGCTGCTAACACATGGAGTGTTATTACTTCCTGCTGATATTCTTTTGGTGCTATGTCTGAACGTACTTTTATTATTATTATTATTATTATATCTATTTTAGACTCTCGCCTTTCCCAAAGCCTAAAAGATTAATTATTATTATTATTTTTCTATCCGGAGTTGTTATAGTTGTCAATACGGCATGAGTAAACTTACCTCTTATTACATGTCTTTCAAAACAATTTGCATTAATAAGGATCTGTTTTCATATTGCCTTATGTACACACACGCGCACGCCTACATTTGTATATATATTTTTTTATCACATCAAGTGACGGGACGAACGAGTCGTGCGCCTGATGTTAAGCTCACGCCTATCCATAACAATTGCTGTGCGACTCGAGAGCTTTAAACCGCAAAGATCTGAGGGGCTTTGCCACTGCGCCCTACACCCTGAGACATAAGTTGACAAGTCCCAAGTGCCTGTAATTTCACCAGCACCTTTATCCTTCAAAACCGGAACACAATAATGCTCACATTACTGCTTGGCGGCAGAAATAGGTAAGATGGCAGTACTTCCCTAGACGAACTCTTTCACAAGGAGCTCTACTGCTACTATACATATAATAAATTCTCAACGTAAGCGTTGATTAGGGATTCTATTTACGAAATACAATAATTATCGAATTTTGTTTGAACATTTCTTTTCAGCTTTTTTTATAATAGTCTTCTTAATAAATTGCAGAAATATTAATATTTACTATTCAATCAATAGGCCTTATTTTAATCATGGAAAAGAATGATCAAATATTATATAGTCCTGTAGTTACACTCGATCAGTTTGGAATCCGTAGAAATGTAAACCGATGTAATCAGCTGTTCTGTTCACATTGTATTTCACCTATTTCCGTATATTTTTTAATAACTTCTTGCCCCGTTTTAGTTGCCGCGCCGTTAAAAAGTATCACATGTGGTAGTTCAGGTAATTAATCCTTACCCAAATTTGATCCAAACAGAAATAAAAGTCAAATAATCTTTATTTCATAGGTAAGCAAAGTTGTTCGTAAGGCGATTCCCCTGAGAAGGATGAGCAAGATATTCTAGGGGTTGCTCGTTGTAAGTAAACTTTTGTATACATTTATCATTTACGATATTATAAATGTAATTCTAGTAGCAGTATACCTCTTTATGAAAGGGTTCGTTCAGGGAAGTACTGTTACCTTACTTATTTTTGTCGCCAAGGAATAATGTGAGCATTACTGCGTTTCGGTTTTGAAGGGTAGGGGTACTGGTGAAATTACAGGCATATGGGTCTTGTCAACTTATGTCTCAGGGTGACGGCCGCAGTGCAGTGCTCTTCTGATCTATGCGATTTAAAGCTCTGAGTGGCACTGCAACTGTTATGGACAGGCGTGTCGCTTACCACCAGGCCCACGACTTATACGTCCCGTCACTTGGTATTATAAAAAAATACGCCGAGGTCTACCTATCCCCATGCCTCCATTCACATTTGCTGTATAAATTTGTGCCGTCAATCTACCAACACTTACCTATTCTTTCTACATGACTAATCCATGGAAGCATCTCCCTCTCTATAATGGTCACTGTATCATCTTTCATACCACAACACTTTATTGAATTAAACATAACATTTGCAACAAAAGTGGCAAATATTATTTATAATTGATTAGA